TTTGTGTCGACAACTTGAAGTCATGATGTAAAACCTTTCAATCCAAGAGGATTTCTTTCCTTTCTCCCTTGGAACTATTGATATCATCTTGGGTATCAAATGGCTCACCTCTCTTGACACAATAGAGGCCAACTAGTAGCAAATGTATATGATTTTTTGCATCAACGACAAGAAGTATAAATTACAAGGTGCTATCCCTTGGGTTACTCCCATAATCACATTAAAAGGTTTTTCTTGCCTTGATTCAAACCCGGTGAAAGCACAACATTTGCAGCACATCTTGCAGAATTATTCTAGGGTATTTGAAGAACCAAAGTCCTTGCCTCTTGTTCGAAACCATTGTCATGCAATCCTATTAGTGCTTTGGTCTATTCCTCCCGATATTAGACCTTATCGATATCGACACTATCAAAAGGATGAGATACAGAAGCAAGTGGTAGAATTACTAAGTAAAGGATTCATCCAACCAAGTGTGAGCTCATTTGCTAGTTCCGTGAATTGAAGGTTTTGTGTGGATTATAGGGAATTGAACAAACTCACAATACTAGATAAGTATCCTATTCCCAATATTGATGAGTTGATTAATGAATTGCATGGTGTCTCATATTGTTCTAAGATAGATTTGCAATTCGATTATCATCCAATTTGAATTCTTGAGGTAGATGTTCCTAAAATAGCTTTTAGAACCCATTTTGGCCATTATGAGTTCAATGTCATGCCTTTTGGTTTAAGTAATGCCCCCTCTACATTTCAAGCTATTAAGAATGATTTATTCAAACCTTATCTTAGAAAATTCATCCTGTGTTCTTTGATGATATTTTAATTTTTAGTAGCAATGACACTGATCATATGGCATATTTGAGGATTGTTTTGCACTCTTTGCAGCAACAAGAATTCTTTGCTAATCTTAAAAAAAATGCCATTTTGCTCAATATGAGATAGCATCCTTAGGCGTAAAATTTCTCAATTTGGAGTTGCTATAGACCCAAAAAAAGTTGCTGCAGTGTTGAATTGGCAATTACCAAAGGATATTTTAGAATTAAGGGGATTTTTAAGGCTTATAGGATATTATAGAAGATTTGTGCATCGCTATGATCAGATTGCAAAACCTCTCACTGACATGACTAAGAATGATGCTTTCTTGTGGACTGCAAGTTCTAAAAATACTTTTGAAGAACTTAACTAGCCCTTGTTTAGGTTCTTGTCTTGCATTTACCGGATTTTTCTAAAAAGTTTGTGGTTGAATGTGATGCTTCATCAATATGCTTAGGGGCTATTCTACAACAAGAGTGTCATCCTATTGCTTTCTATAGCAAGGGTCTCTCTTTCTAAGCGTCATAAAGCTGCCTATGAGTGTGAGTTGCTAGCTTTAGTTTTAGCTTTGACAAGATGGAAGCATTATCTCATGGCACAAAAATTTGAGGTCTATAGTGGTCATTTTAGTCTCAAATATCTCCTTGAGCAAAGATTATCTACTCTAGAGTAGCAGATGTTGATCTTGAAGTTACTTCTATTTGACTTCACCATTGTGCACAAACATGAAGTGCTAAACAAGGAGCTGATGCTTTATCACGATGTCCCCATTTTGCTACATTCATTGCTGTTTCCATTCCCTAAGCTTCAGATTTTGATGATCTTCCTCAATTATTGTAGCAAGATAAGTACATAGCCACACTCATTCAGTCTTTGCAGAATAATCCCAAATCTGTTCCTCATTTTGCTTTGTCTACTAAGATACTTGCACCTTTTGATTTAAGTACTAAACTACTTGCTTCTCCTGTAGGTGGTCATGGGGACTATGTGAAAACTCTAAAGCGATTGCAATAACTTCTCTTTCGGAAAAATATAAAGAGTGATATGAGAGCCTTTGTGCAGAATTGCCATATCTGTCAACAAAATAAATATACTCCTTAAGATCCTAGTGGTCTGCTGTAACCTTTAGATATTCCAGAGAGCATTTGGGAGGGTATTTTTTTTGAACTTTGTAACTGGTTTACCAAAATCTAATAGTTGGGAGGCTATTCTAATAGTGGTGGACAGACTCAGCAAATATGCTCACTTTATTGGGCTAGAAAGATCTTATACAGCAAAGAATGTGGCCCAAATTTTCTGTAAAGAGGTGGTTGGACTCCAAGGATTTCCTACTTCTATAGTTTTTGATCGAGATCATATTTTTTTAAGCTCCTTTTGATAGGAATTATTCAAGTTGGGTGGCTCTCAATTGAGGATGAGTACTTCTTATCATCCTTAAATGGATGGTCAAATCGAGGTGGTTAATTGCTAATTAGAAACATATCTGAGGTGCTTTTCTATTGAGCATCCTAAAACCTGGGGTCAATACTTGCATTGGGATAAATTTTCTTACAACTTTGGATTCCACTCTTCTTTTGGTTTCACACCTTTTAAAGTGGTGTATGGCTGTGAACCACCTTCTCTTCTGCCTTTCACTAAAGGAGATACAAGGTTAGTGGAGTTAGAGGATTATTTTGAAGAAAGGGATGTTGTCCTCACTGCTCTTAAGGAGAATTTAGCCATGGCTCAATCACACATGAAACTGCAAGCGCACTCTAAATGTAGAAATGTGGAATTTCAACTAGGAGATATTGTTTTCTTAAAGATTCAGCCCTACCGACAGCTTTCTCTGGCTAGATACAAATTCTGAAAATTGTCTTCGTGATTTTGTGGCCCCTCTCCTATTTTGCAGAAGATTGGTGCGATGGCTTATGAATTACAATTGCCTCTAGAATCTAAAGTTCATCCTGTCTTCCACGCGCACTTTTGAAGCCTAGTCATGGACAGACATTTTCCTCTTTACATCCCCTCTGCCCATTAATGTTGATTGGGAATTTAAACTTGAACCTGAGAAGATTTTGGATAATTGAGTGAATCATTTACAGTATCTCAAATTATCAAGTGGAAGGGTCATTCTTTTGAAGAATCAAGTTGGGAGACTTATGATGTGGTTGCATTTTAATTTCCTTCTTTAAGCCTTGAGGACAAGGCTGGTCTCTAGGGGTAGTATTGATAGGAATCAATGTCCGTATCTGGTTTATTCTAAGAAGAAAAGAGGGAACAAAGGGTAGTTTTATGTTAGTTATCTATTATGTCATATGTAAGAGTTATAAGCAGTTATGTCTTTTTACTATTATTCAGTCTTTAGGAGTTATCTTATAGTTGTTGCTGACTTGGAGGTTGACTATATAAACCTATTATGTAAGAACCATATAAAGTATTATTCAGAGAACTATTCTTCTTTTCTAGAATGGCAGATTTTGGTTTTCAATTCTCTCTCACATCTCCCTATTCTCTCTTCTTTCCTCTCTTAAAACTTTCTCCCTTTTTGCGGTCCTATCGAAGAGCGATCTGGATCATATGATCTCTTCAAGAGATTATAAGCCTCAAGTGAATTAGTACATATTCTGGCCTTTATTAAGGGGCTGTTTGGCAACCATAAAAAATACTTTTTAAAAACACTTTTCCATAAATCAAGATAAACTCTTTTATATATTTACTTTATATACCATAAAAGTATTTTTAAAACCATGGTTTGATTCCATCCAAACACCCCCTAAATCCATGTTCTGATGAACCTGAAGAACTATCTGGATTGCGGTTAATTCCCCGCTTCTGTGACTGTGCCCTTGCCAATATCTTTAGTGAAACCCATAAGCTAGTCACCGTAGGCATCTCTTAAGAGTGTGTTTGGATTGTGGGTGGACAAAACTGACTTCTATTCTAATAGACTTTTGTAACTAAAGTTAGAGTAAAAGTCAGTTAGTGTAATACGATTTATATTTGGATAGATGATTATAAAAAGTTAGTTGAAAAAGTTAAAAGTTGTTTTGATGATTAAATAGAAAAGTGAGTTCAACTATAAAATAGGGCATTGACTTTATTAAATAGTAGCGTTTGATATTTTATGTTTTTAATGTAATAATAGTTAAAGAGAAAATTATTATGATAAAATAAAAATATTTTATTTCTGAAATTATAAAATAAAAATATTTGTCACCAAGAAAAATTTGAAAGCATATTGTAGATAATTAATTAAATATATATAATGGATAAATATGAATATAAATTAAAATTCATTTGGTCTCTAATTAAATTAAATAAAATCATATAATTTTTCTGAAATAATAATATGAAGCTCAAACCTAAAAGTGGATTGCTTCAGTCAAACTTAAAACAAGCCTTTTTCCATGCACGAGTTCTTCCTCTGTTTTGAACTTCCTTCGAGCTCGGTCAGATAGGTAAAAATGATAGGTGAAAACTTCAATGCTCATTTAATGCTTATTTTAATGGTAGATTGCATTTTCAAATGGTGAGAAGCTGCTCCAGTCAACGTCGGAAATTAAGTCACTTTTCCCCCATAAGTCAATTAGAAAAGAAATCCATCCAAACAACTAATTAAGCCACAATAAACCATAAACCTCAATTTTACATTTTTCCATATGCTTTTTTCATATTCAACGGAGATCCAAACGTCCCCTAAGAGTGTATTTGGATTGACGGTAGGCAAAACTAACTTCTATTCTAACTGACTTTTGTAACTGAAGTTAGTGTAATACGATTCAGTTAGTGTAATACGATTTATGTTTGGATAAGTGCTTATAAAAAGTCAGTTGCAAAAAATAAAAGTTGTTTGAATGATTAAATAAAAAAATGAGTTCAGCTATAAAATGACTCAAGAGGGCATTGACTTTATTAAATAGTAGCGTTTGATGTTTTATGTTTTTAATGTGATAATAGTTAAAAAAATACCTAAAATAAATATATTAAAATAAAAATATTTTATTTGTGAAATTATAAAATAAAAATCTTTGTTACTAAGAAAAATTTGAAAACATATTATAGATAATTAATTAAATATATATAATAGATAAATATAAATATAAATTAAAATTTATTTGATCTCTAATTAAATTAAATAAAATCATATAATTTTTCTGAAATAATAATACTCTCGTCTGATTGTTTTGATCTCGCGGGTCAGTTCTGCTTGTGCTGTGCTTGTTTTCACTCGTTCTCCTCTTTGGCTCTGTTGCTCACTCTGTTGTCGGCGGTCGTTCTTCTCTCCCGTTCCTCCTTGTGGGTCTCGTGTTGGTTCTCGCTCGTGCTCAGTCTCGCATCTCTCCCTTAGTCTCTTGAAGCTTAAGTGAGGTTAGTTCTCTAAGTTCGTAATGCGTGTTCCTTTCTGATGCAAGGCAGTATCCTCCAATTTTTGCTTTCTTAATTTCTTTCATTGACTTTAATTCTACACGATGGCTTCTCAATTCGTTTGGCCGAAAATGCACCGTCGATGCGTTTCGTTAATGATTCGATGTTTATGAGAAATAGGAACTTAAAAGTGGACGCAGAGTAGAGTGAATGAAATGAGTCTATCAATTTTTTTATTTATTTTTCAAAACAATCCATTTATGTAGGAGACATTTGAATTTCATTATCTCACGCTACCGGCTTTGACTACACCCCAGACTCCATCCTTAACACAAACTGTGATCATTGTGAGGCACCGCAGTTGTTTACGCTAAGAGAAGAAACTTTTTCAAAACTAAAAAGGACCTAAAACTCTGGTACAAATTGCCTTGTTTTTGTACTAGGCCTAGAATTTGTATTGCTATAGTTGGGTGTTGTTTAGGCCATGAAAGTTACAATCTTTATGCTTCTATTTTTTTTAATGTTTTTTCTTGCTTCCTTTACCATATCCATTTTTCTCATGTTACGAAGGAAACAATATTCTGGAGAGTTGTAGATATTAAGTATCAGGAAAGCATACAACGGCAACTGAAGGAAAGAAGATTACACTTGCACACGGGCCATCAATCAAGATTTTATGGTCTGTAAATATCAAGTGCTTACAATGTTGCCCCATATTAGGAGCGACTGCAACTAGCAGATTTTGTGAGTATTTAATGAATGAATAATTGATTAGTTATAATACTGTCTTAATGCAAATTGAGGGGTTGGGTACGTCCTAACCTAGCTAGCGTTATTGATGTTGGATGTTGTAAATGTGAACTTAGTTCTTTCGTATGTATTAGATTCTAATCATAATGTGCTGGGAGCCTTTGTTGCTGAAGGTTTGCTAACATTTTTTTATATCTATCTGGCTGATAGTACCCCTAGATTGTACCTAAGCAACAGTTCATGACAGATTTTCCAGGTGAAAGAAATGTTTCAAATCTCAATGTAATTACTATGTGGAAATGATAAATAAATGTCAAGACAAAAGGACAAGACTCTTTGTTATTTTGGATAGGAGCTATGAGTTGATTACCATGCAAGAAAAATATATAATTCATTAGCTGAATTATCAAGTCCTAGTGTTTGTTGTTCCCTATAGCTAAGTGCCCTAAATTGGGTTATATTTTGTACATGTGATTTGCAGGGAAATATTTTGACACTTGTTTCTTGCTTGTTCTTTTATTATTATCCTTGAATTCCATTTATACCTTTTGTCATGTTATACTAGTTTGAAACTTTATTTTTAGTTTATATATAATGGTTTTGGTTGTCCATGATACAGCGGCTCTGAATTGTACTCTTGCTTCTATGTAGGATTTGCAGATCATTTGTTTGAAACTTCATTCTTGCTATTTTTTTATTATTTATTTTCACTTAATTTAAACCTTTGGTCATAATAAACTAGGGAAAACCATATTGGAGGTACTTATACTTTTTTTCAATTTTCAATTTGGTACCTATGTGTTTTTTGTTCTTAACTAAATCTTTAATTTTGCTCTATTAACATCATTAATTCTTATATAGAGACTAAAAATGTCAATAGAACAAAGTTATAAGAGCTAATGTTGCTAAAAAGATAAAATTAAATATTTAATTAGAGGGAAAAAAACACATAGGTACCAAATTAAAAATTGAGAGAAAGTATAGGTACCTTCAATATGGTTTTCCCTAATAAACTATTATGAAACTTTCTTGTCTTTTTATGTAGTGTTGGAAATGTAGTGACACCATGGAAATTGAAGGGAGGCGAATGAGGAGGTTTGTGGTTGGAAGAGACTCAGGACAGACAGATACACTTTTGCCAATACATGCTTCTGCCTCTACTAATCTTTCTAAAACAATTTCCTGTTGGTAATAGTCTTTTCTGTCCATTTCATTTTCAGTAGTTCTTTATCTATCTTTATTTTCTTGATATTGTTGTCCGAATATGTTGTCTAGTATTATATGTGCAAATCAAGACACTTCTGGAGCTTTTGTCCTAACAGGTCAAATGTTTTTATGAAATAAAACTATGCCTGCCATGGTATCAGATAAAGTTTTTTCACCCTAGCGGTGTTGTGTTTGATTCTTACTACTCAAACACTTCTGAATTTAGTTTAGTTCTAGTAGATTCTATGAAGCCTTTGTGCTTTTTTGTTGACGGGTGAAGGCCCAGAGACTTTGATGTGAGAGGACTAGTTAGACATATATATCAAAATCATTCTTTTGCCCTTTCTTGAAATTGAGATTTTGCGATCAAATAATCTGACGTATATCTATTAAAATGCAGGTATTGTGACTACAAAATCTCTGCCCTGAACAAGCCCCTCTTCTATTTTGGTCGGAGACATTCCAAGTACTATATTCTGCTATTATGATTTATCTTTTAATTATTCAAAATTGGTGTTTTTGAAAATTGCATTCTCTATCATTCAAAAAAAAAAAAAAAAAACAACAAATGCATTCTCTTACTCACTTCCTGACCTCACAGGTTTTTGAAAGTATGGTTTTCAGTTGGAGTTGGTTTTGCCCTATCTGCATTGCTTGGAGTTACTTTGGTATACAATTGTGCTAATTTTTTTTCCTTGAATTTCTCCTGTGCATTTTTTCTCTTCCACGTTTACATGTTTATTGCTGTACTTCTCCAGATTCTCCTTTTGGAAATGGCCAGAGTATTGCGTCTGTGTGATGGCAACAATAAACTTGGGGCTTCACACGTGCCCTGTTCTTTGGATTCCCCCCTTTGGTTGGCAATTATTTATTTTGGTTGCAAGTTTAGCATTTAGTTATTTTTTTCTTATTTGAACGGATTTACAAAACTGAGGATATAATAGTGGAAAAACAACAAATAGAAAATTTAAATAATATGCAGCTTTCAAGCTGTTACTTACTTATTGCTTGTATGCAGCACTTTGGGTTAAGCTTATCGTTGGCTGATGTTGGGTATATATGCATCTCTACCATCATATCTGTTGTGGTACATGAACTTGGTCATGCAGTTTCTGCTGCTAGGTCAGTGTTTTTGCTCAACTCATTTTTTTTAAAATTTTTTTTTTCAACTAAAACTGAGTAATTGAACATTTTGGCTTACCTATTTTTATAATTGCGATATTGCAATTTCCATTTTAAGCCCTCGAGAACACCTTACAAGGTTCAAAAAGCAGCACATCTAGCTGCTCATGCTTTTTGCATCTGAAGGGATATGATTCACACTAAAAAGTCATTCATTTTCCTCTAGAAAAAATAAATTGAAGAAAACTTGAGAAGGGCATGCGTAGCCTCTAGTTTGCTGTTTTCTGAGATTATTTTGCTACATCTAGTTTTGAGACTTTTGTCTTTGTTTTTACTGAATGACTTTTCTTGTTGGCAATAATTATACGATGTTTTTCCTTCTTGTTTTTGTCCCCCCCCTCCCCCCCAAAAAAAAGAAAAAGAAAACAACACACACACACAAAAGGTAAACTAGATTGTGAATGATTTCACATGCATTTGAGTTACTCACTCAAGTTGTCTCTGGCCAGTGACATTTATGTTTATATTCTCAAAGCTACATCAAGCATGTATTACCAACTGATTAGTTTACAGATGTCAATTACCGCATATTTGATCCTTCTTCAAAGGTCAAAGAGTTGATTCTCATGCTTATGCTATTGTACCTTTTAACGGGAATGCAGCGAGGGAATACAAATAGAGTACATTGCCATCTTCATTGCTCTTCTTTTTCCTGGTGCTCTGGTTGCCTTTGATAATGAATCACTAGAAGCATTACCAAATTTGAATGCTCTCCGTGTGTATACTGCTGGCATTTGGCACAATGCAGTTGTGAGTTCTGTGTGTGTGTGTGTAATAATTTTTGAGGATTAGACCTCTGAATGAGCTAAACTGCATATTATGCTTCTAGCTTTAACCCTTTTACTTTAGTGCTGTGCAGCTTGTGGGCTGACATTGTTCCTCCTTCCCCTGATTTTGCTTCCCTTTTACACACATGGTCATGGTCCCATGGTAATTTTCTTCATTCAATGTATTTGTCTTATTCTTTATCTCCACATCCTCTGCTGACTTATTGCATATGTTACTGTGTCATGTGTAATATAGGTTTTGCATGTACCTCCAACATCACCTTTATCTGGTTATTTAGCTCCTGGTGATGTTATTCATTCAGTGGATAATGTGCCCATTGACAATGCACAAGACTGGGTGCAGGTTAATACTTTGACATATAATATGAAACTCAATAATGTAAATATTTCCCAGCACATTGGTGACTTAGGGGCAGTCCATGGAAGGAGGGGTTATTGTGTACATAGTCTTGTGGTGGAAGAAAACAAATATATTAAATATGCAGAAAACCACTATGCTTGTCCCAATGAACTTACTGCTTTTGTAAAAGTTTCATGCCTCACTGCTACATCAAATGATGGTCAGAGTGAAGATCTTTTAAACAGAGGATGGCTTTTTTACTGCTTAAATGTTATTGATGTTGTCAGACTTAAAAAATGTGGTGAGTGGGGATCAGCTACAACAAATGGGAGTGACTGTACATGTTCTAAGGTAGAGATTTATTTATCTTTTAGCCTTTCTAATTTGTATGCATTCTCTTGCTCTCACCTACTGTATGCTTAGAACGTGATGATACATAACAAAGTACTTATTAAATTTTGTATTGATGCTTTTCTCAGGATGAATTTTGTTTAGCTCCAGTTCAGGAGCCTGGATTGGTATGGATTGAGATCACATATTCAAGCCCTTCTCATGAATGTTTGTCGCTTCGAAGAAACACATTTCCAGTTTCTGGGACATCTAACCATAAGGAAACTGATTGTGGTGGCACTTTCATATTTGTTGGTGATGTGATTTTAATGGCGCATTCAATTAAGTTAACATCATATCAGCCTCGCTGGAATCTAATCTTTATTGCATATCTCCCAAATTTACTGGAAGGGTTCCTGATATGGACATTCCGTGTCTCTCTGGCCCTAGCTCTTCTCAATAGTTTGCCTGTAAGTCTTAAACAATTTCTTCTTATGTTAAGCAATCTATTCTGTAAAAAATTAATGTTCCTTTTACAGTACTGTAAAAGGATTGTTTGGTTTGGACTTTTATTGTTGCTGGGAAAATTATGATGATTTGAGCAGTGCATTCGGTCAAAAAAAAAAATTGCTGTGTATATGAGGCTTGCAGATAATTTAATTAAGGTGAATTCAAAGAAACTCTTGGTATCAAAAAAGCTTTCAAAGAAAATCTGTTGCTGAAGTTTCAATGTTGGAGATATCATTTCTTACTTCCAAAATTGAGAGGAGATTGTAAAGAGAGAGTAAGAGAATTTTGTTACATTGCCTGTATTGGAGAAAAATTACTTCCTTTTCGTCTAACTTGACAATTTTTGAAAGCATTGATATTGCCGAGTCATGTCTGTTCACTATCATACTTGGCATATCAACGCATACAGATACTATTATTTGGGAAGAAACGTTCAGGATATGTATAAAAAGCTTTCGGATTATTATCTGGCAAGTCAGATGATGCTTTATTGTTCTTACTGCTGAATTTCCTCTAATTATGATGATATTTCAGGTTTACTTTCTGGACGGTGCATCTATTTTGGAAGTAGCTCTAAGCCACTTTACTTCGTTAGGCCAAAGGAAAAAGGAGAAGGTTCTTAGATTATGTCTCTTTGGTGGAACAGTAATTTCTATTGTCAGCTTTTTCCACGCATTCCTTTAATTTTTCTGTGTTCCTTAGGTTATAATGGTAGTTTTAATTTCATAATTTTCTGGTTATATGTGGTAACACCATCTTATTGGCTTTATAATGCATCATAAAGTATATCTTTTGTTTTGAGGGGAGAACCTGAATATTAACTTAGCAATACACATACAATCAAAATACTTGTGTTATTTATCAATAGATATTGGTCTTAGTAGAAGGGGCTAAATTCTATTTAAGATGGATGAATATTAACTTAACCTGAATGTAGACTTTTGGCAAGGCTTTGCCGATTTGGGGCTTCACCTGGCATACTTCGGATTAGCAAGTGTCTAGTGCGGTTCTAAACCAATTATTTGCTTCCCAAAAACATACTTTAGTTATTTATCTGATGAATGGATTAGAAGTAATTTCATATGGAGCTTGCATGACAAATTTTAGAGAAGTTGGACAATAGTTGCTATATAATTGAAGTAAATGTGCTGAGTTATATGGTACTATGCTTTTTTTTTTTTAAAAAAAAACGCTGCTTGTTAGAGCCATTATTTCTTTCTACATTTTGGATAAACGGTCCCATTAACTTAATTAACCTGCCTATTCATGCTTTTTATGTTTTTAATGGCAGGGCCTGTTTTTCTATTCATGTTTTTGATGTTTTTCATGTTTTAGGACCTGTTCCATATACATTCTTTTGATGTTTTTCATGTCAGGACTTGTTTCTTTACCAAAGCAAAGCTTTCTATTTTCTTCTCAATCAAATAGATCTTAGGTGTAGTAGGCATTACCATCTTTTCTGAAATGGTATTTTGAATCACCTTATTTTGATGAGCTAAAACTTTAGATCAAGTTAGTAAGCTCATAAAAGTTTACTCCCTTTAATCAATGTATGTAAATGAGAAATTAAAGCATGAAGGCAATAAGCAAAAGCCAAAACACAATTAAAGCTTAAAGAACACTTCAGTCATTACAAAGCAAGTTGAATTAAAATACAGCAAAAGCTCACAAATATAGGAATTACATGACATGAAGTACAAATACAACAATATAAAAACAACAATGAGAAGGTTATTTGCTTATTTTCTTCTTTCTTCAACCCCTTTGGCATAATAAAAACCAAGATGGATGCAATGATTGATTATGCGGAGGAGGGTTTGGGTTGCTGTGTGCCTTAGAAACCAGGAGAAAGGGGTGTTTCAAGGCGAAAGGAGGGTTTAGATGTTTGGTATTTGATCGTGTGTTTTCAACAGAAGGCTTTAAGTTGTTGTTTTGCGATGAAGAAGTAGGAGTTGGGAAGGTGAGGATAGTGGAGGTGAAGAAGATTGAGAGTTCTATTCGGAGGATTGTAGGTGTGAGGACTGAGGTTTTTTAGGCAATTTGAAAAGGATTTTGAGGTGAAGTTTGAGACTGGTGGGGAGAAGTTTGAGATGATAAAGAGAAAGGTGGTTGAGTTTCAAGTGAGAGTTGAGGCGTGTCTTGTGATTTGGCGAGGTTAGAGATGAGGTCAGAAAGATTTAGATTGGGTTTTCTCACCTTGGAGGATGTGAAAAAGGACTGTGTAGTGATTTTTTTTTTTAATGATTTTTTCCCCTTTTGTGGAGGAAGGGACATTTCAGTAGTTTTGTTGAATGGATTGTCATTGATACTCTATCTGGATTTTAATATAAGAATTAGTTGATTTGATTTGGTTTTATATATAACGCTTCAATCCAATTTGTTTCCTGTGCTTATCATTTTTTTTTTCAAATTATCCTTATTAACTGTACATGTTAAGTGAGTTTGCATTAATTTCATTGCAAATGATTTTAAAAAAATGTTAAGAAACAGCATATATTTTATTTTATAATAACTAATTTAAGTAGTCTTTTAGTTTTGTTCACATTAGTTGAGTGGATTTTACATTAAGAAGCGAAGATAGTATTTGGTTTGAGAAGTGCTGGATGTGAGGTAAGGATCAATGTCAATAGGTTGCTTATATATGTTGGACCTTAATTCTTTCCTCGATGAAAGATAACGCCAATACAGTAACAAGAATCAATAATAATATTCATAATATTTTTCTTATTCTTAATACAGAATCTAATTGTAGAGTTGATATTAGTTCTACCTAATTTTTTTTAATCCAATCAAATTAGTTAAAGAAAACAACTTAAGTTAAATTACTTATATCTATTATGTCAAGTTATTTAATTATGTATAATTGTGTTCTTTTTTATTTCATGTGGATTTCTGGTCAAATGTAATTACGTGCTAATATTTCAAAAATAAGATATATAATCACGAGTGATTGGAGAATGTAACATGATAGATATGAGAAAATTTATGTAAGTATGGTTGCTAGTTAAATATGTTTTATATTAAGGATTAAAGGAGTATGCTTAGTTCTCAAGTCCATTGCATTCATACATATTTAAAATTTTTATAAGTTGCAAGTAATCCAAAAACAATATATGTAAATGTTCAAAACACATCTGGCGTAACTAGCATGCTCCCTTTAAAAATACAAAATGATAAATTGATGATTTAACCATCGTATTTATACGAAAATAAATTCATATCAAAATACTTAAAACACATTATCATGTACATAAAGTAATTTTGAATAATGGCTACCTCACACTTTAACTTAGTTCAAATTGGTGGATTTTACTTGCCAATTACCTCCTATAAAGGTGAATCGATACAATTCATAAGAATTAGCATCAATTCAATGCTAAATGAGTTTATTTTAGGTGGCCTTTGGAGCTCCTAAATTCTCCAGAATTCTCTCCACTTTTGCCACTTGTTTAAAATATTTCGTGGGCAGTTTTTGCCAGTTGCTACTATTAACTGACGTGGTTTTTTGGGCTTGAGCCGAAATAAAATTAGCATTTGGCGGCCCAATAACTAGCTGCATTTTTAATTTTACAATAATATATAAAAGGACTTATATACTAGGCCTTATACCTTAGAGTGATGTATAGTGCACAGCACGTTTTTTTTTATTTACAGAAAATAAATAAAAATCAAAAGAGGATTGAATTATGCTTTTGAAATAGAAAGTATACATAATTTAACTGAATTTAAAAAGATTATACATTTTTGTAGAGAAAATCATACCGCCTCTTAAATCAAATATTTATATGACTAGATTTTTTTTTTTTGTATTACATGGAATCTGAGAAGATTTACACTTTTTATGGATTGTAAATAGCGTCACTTTTTATAACTTTCATTGTACATTGATATTATCATTATTATAATAAATTAAAAAAATAATTCACTTATCAAGAGGTCAATATAATAAATACGAAGCATCAAAAAAGTAATGGAGGCATGTCATTCACTAGATCGGAGTAGCGTGTCTTATTACGAGTTTCGTGTAAAAACGAAGTGCCTATTTGGTAATGAGTCATACCACTTCATCTCCTTAATATTAGGAAAATTTTAAGTGGTGATTTTTTTATAAGAAAAAAAGAATTAACAAAGGATCAACTGTTTTTTTTTTAAACCACAAGTAGTCTTTATTAATGAGAGAATGTAAAAGATGGATATACCATTATCAACGAGTTGTTAGTTGAAATGGTAAGTGATTTTACTTCCATAAATAAGAAAATATAAGTTTGAATCGTTTACGCTCTTAACTTGATATAAATTAGTCTCAAGTAATTAAAAAAAAAGACAGATATACTATTTAAGTAGGGGTATTTTTAAAAGCAAACTAAATTTGATTGTGAGATAAATTAACTAACCTTAACTAATTTTAATTAATTTCTTAATATCCATAAAGTTGTTTCTTCCTTACATTAAGCACGGGAGGCAATATTAATATTCAATTGTCCATTTCTTATGATAAAGGGCGTCTAATTTTCTTTTGAACCTATATTTCTTTGGGTCCCAATTATAAAGTAAACTTAACTAAATCTACAATAATTTATGACTCCTAAGAAATGGTAGTTCATATTTTCAACCTTCTAAAAAAATGCGTCTTTTAATTTTGTTTTTTATTAAACTGTTCTAAGGAATTAAAAGTATATCAAGAATGCCGGCAACTCATAATAATTAATAAAAGACGAGATTTAAAAAAAATTTAAGAGTTAAGGTGTAAACTTGTCTTGAAAGTTTGTTTTTTTGGGAGTAAAGAAGTTTAAATTGTTTCCTATCATAAAAATACTAACAATCAACGTGACTATTTTAAAAATCAATATTAATTTTTTAATGTTATATGGTAATATTCTTATCAATTTTAAATTTTTATGATAAATTTGTGTGAAAAAAACTTTTTGGTGTTTAGTGCTTTTGAGGGAAAAAGATTTAGGATAAATTTACATATTAACCCAAAAATTAATTATTAGGTCTTTATTCTGTATCTAAAACTAAATATATAAAATTTTGTCTATAATTATTACGACCCACCGACCAAGTGACATGAAAGAATGGAAAGTGGCTTTCATTCCTTGTCAGAGGCAAAAACGACCGATGTGTTTGTGAGCTAATAGCTTGCCACGTTGTGACGCGTGCCGGTCAAATTAGTTGAAACCTCTTGAGAAAGAAAAGAAGGCCCAAAAGACGATGACTGAAAAAGAGAGACAACACAAAAGGAAAATGAGCATTTAGAGGTGAAATTTTTTGAATGAATTGTGTGGTTTTCTTTGACGTATCATCCTTCCCTTCTTCAATAGCTTCCTTCCACGTACCTTCCGCCACCAAAGTCCAAAGTCATCACATCTATGATCTATTCCTCCTCTCAAGTCCCATCCCGTGTCCCATCTTTATCTCATTCTTTCTCCCATACAACATTTTCTTTTCTTTAGTTTGTTTTAATATAACGAAACGATATTTAGATAAATCATTGCGGTGAATAAATTAAAGGGTCGTGTCAAGATGTCAATGGTTGGAATTTTAATTTCATTATTTATTATTAAGCATAGTCAACGTAAATCTTTTATTCAAAAGTGACATCACAACATTTGTTCTGTCCAATTCAAAGAAAATCATTTATTTACTTATTAATAAGATGCTATTAACTTGGAGCACAAGCATAGCAAAGTTGCTCCTTTTAAATGCGCGCACACACACACACACTGATACTCCGGAAAGAATCTTTTTAAATATATTTTTTATAAGAAATCTTTGTAAATATATATATTCACACGAATTTGAAGCATTATAAATGAAATCAAGAAAAGGTGATAACCCATATTAAACTTGTTTTTCTCTGAAGA